GCTCGACAGATGTCGACGGTGCCATCCTTTAGGATGTATCTCCTATAGTTGTTCGTCTTAATAACCTGATCCTGTATCGCACAGACAAAACCTTCGGTTTCCCCAAAGAGGTCACCGAAACGTAGCCAGTTCAGGGAGGCAACAGTATCTACGAAAGGCTCGTGTAGAGCCTTGTAGAACCTCCCGTGGAGCTCTTTCTCCTTCCATACAGCCTCTCGGTCGGAAACGCTCAGTACTCCCGGGTCCTGCCATTGCTCGTTGGCTAAGGATAGAGGGGTAAGTCCTTTATCACAACTAATGACGTCCGTGTAGATTGACTCATCCGATCTCGCCAGAAAGTAGTTACGGAGGCTGCACACCTCGCGATTGTGCATGGTGAGGGCGCTTAAAAAGCCCCTCCCGCCATGCTTCCGCGGAAGGTACAGCCTCATCACTGACGATCTCGGATGATGCATTCTGTGGGACGTCATAGTTGTGCGGACTTTTCGGTCCAGGGCGTTGAGCTCAGTTTGAGTCCACCTGAGTATGCCAAAGGTATACATGAGGACTGGCATGACCCAGCCGTTAAAAGCACGTGCCTTATTCCCGCCTGACAAATGGCTATTAAAAACCTTTGTCAGGCGTGCAAAAAACACGTCACGAACTGACTGTTTCATGCCAGCCTCATCGATACACATATTTTGTGACATACCCAGGTATCGGTATGTTTCAGCCTCAGAGAGGGTCCTTATGTTAACGGGCATAGATAAGTCTATGCCCTCCGTATTAGTGACCTTACCCCTTTCGACATGAAGGACCGCACACTTATCCGTCCCGAGCTCCATTTTGATAGAATTGCTGAAATCACAAGTGACTTTAAGCAATTCCATCAAATGGGAGCGATTGGAGGCGAATAACTTGAGGTCATCCATGTAGAAAAGGTGGGTCACTTTTGTCCCTCCTCTCCGAAGCTGAAATCCTCCCCCCGAGCCCTCCAGTAATGCGCTGAGAGGATTCAGGGAGAGGCAAAACCATATTGGACTCAAACAGTCGCCCTGGAAAATACCCCGTCGTATCCTTATCCGGTATTCCGCAGCCGTCATCCGCTCGCCTAGATGACAAAGGATCGTACTCCATTGCCCCATACAGTACCCGAGGAAGTCTCTTACTGTACAGTCTACTTTGTACAGTTCGAGGACCCTCTTTAGCCATGTATGGGGCACCGAGTCGAACGCCTTTCTGTAGTCTATCCAGGCGGCGGAGAAGTTCCGACGGTTGCGTTTAACCATTTTGCCAATAACCGCGTCGATGAGAAGTGGTTCCTTGGTTCCACGACCACCGCCCCGACATCCATTCTGAGCACGAGACATAATCCGATTCATATTAATATGCCGGGTGATTCTCATGCTCAGAATAGATGTCAGTGTCTTATAGATTGTAGGTAGACACGTTATGGGGCGGTACTTACTCGGGTCTGTGGTAACCTGATCTTTAGGAACCAAATGAGTGACCCCAGTAGTAAAGAGGCTCGGGAGCGACCTCTGATCGAGAGCCTCTTGGAACTGTCGGGCGAGCACAGCATGACACACCACGAACCCCTTCAGCCAGTAGTGATGCAGCCCGTCGAGTCCCGGACTTTTCCAGTTCGGGGCTCTACGGACTGCCTCAGATACGTCGTCGGGTGTTATGACGACGGGGGTTCATGGGTGTAATGTCTGCACATTGGCTCGCCACGACTTGTGTCCAAGGGCCCTCGCTGTGGTCTACGGGCTCTGACCACAGGCTGCGCCAGAAGGCGACAGTGTCTGCCTGGTCCGGTCCTTGGCCCGTTCCACAGCTCATTGGTCGTTCCAACGATTTGTAGAGCCTCTTTTGGTCACTCTGGAAGAGGCGATTCTGGCTAAACCGCGCCGTCCTCTCGGTATATCTCCGAATCCGCTTCCCCCAAGCAGCGATCCTCTGCTTCAGGTCATCTATGCGCTCCGTTAGTTTTTGCGTAATATCCGGCTGGGACAAGTTGATGTTGGTCCCAGCGAACGCCATCCTAACGGTGCGCACAATTCTGGGCCTATTATTGCCCGACCTGAAGCTTATCAGCCTGCCGATGATGGCCCTTACCTTTGCGATACGGTCCTCAATTCTTCTTCTCCATGCTGGGATAGTGCTACCTGGTCTGGTAGCACGTCCAGCCTTGGGAAGTTTGGCGCCAACGATTCGGCATACTGCCAGTGCAGCGCCAAAGAGAATTGAGTCCGTATCGCAAAGATCCCGGCTAGCTTCCAAATAGGTTGCCAGCATCGGGTTAAGAGACCTCACGACAGACCGACTCCTCACGACAGACCGACTTTATTATTATTATTATTATTATTATTATTATTATATACGGTACCTGACGTTACAATAGCTATACCAAGCTTATATACCCAAAAATATTAGAGAATATGAGCCCGTATGCTATTTACTGGCTACAGATCTGAGACAGTCAATTTTTCATCTTAAGAATAAATCAAAAATGTATTCTTTTTTTTTATGTGAAAAGTTGCCAAGCGAGCAGGTGGTTCACCTAATGTTAAGTGAATACCACCGCCCATGGACATCTGCTACACCCAAGGGTTTAAATATGCGTTGACAACCTTTTGAAAATTAGGCTCCGGCTACCTCACTCACCAGACGAAACGCGAAAGTACTATACTTCCAATTTACGCCGGTCTTCTGTGAAGTCGTGTTACTTACCCGGACGAGCCTGCCCATTCATGCAACAGCCGAGTCTGCTGCGTGGCCTTACCACCGTTAAATATCCTGAAAACTTGTTTCAGAAGAATTAATTAAACCCAATATGGCCACCGCGAGTCTTAAATATAATTTTTTTGGGAGTAGGTGTCAAACAATTGCTCCGCTTATCTCACCAGATAGTAGAAATATAGTAAATTACAGGTCTTCCTTGACGCCGTGTTATTTCCCCAAACTAAACTGCCCATTCCTGAAAAAACAAAGCTGCAGCAAAGGCTGCATGGCCCCACAATAGTTATGTTTGGATATGAGGTTTCCCAGCTGAAGTATGAATTATGATTACACGCTTCAGATGATGTCCAAAGGTATAACATCGTAATAAATTCTCGTTGTGGCGTATTTGTCAAAATTCGACCGTCGTTTTTAATATTATACTCTCGGAGGAGTATGAAATATTCTTAAAATGCGACCCAATGTTTTCGTTTCACTTAATAGTATGAAAATGCTATATACATATAACCTTTAAATCCATCCTCCGGGATAGTGCTACGCCAGAAGCATAGAACAGAGCCATGGTGGTGCTGTTCTTCAAGATAAAACGCTGGAAGATGCTAACACTCTCTTGAAGAACGTTAGACCGATATCCCTTCTGAGCTGCGGCTATGTTCTGTTTAAAGAGGTCATTAAAATTTGTAGAAATAAGAACGAGACCTCGCCGCTACGGGAATCAAACCGAAGTCGAAGATGCTTTAACCACTAAGCTAAACGGATTTAAAGTTATACTGTGGTAGGGCCACGCAACAGTGTTCACTGTTGCACGAATGGACTGATCCATCGGGGTAAGTACCACGACCTCACAGAAGACCGGCGTAAAGTAGAAGTGTTGTACTTTTGCGTTGCGTCTGGTGAGTAAGGTAGCTAGGGCCACTTTATTTAAAGGTTGCAACGCATTTGCAACCCTATGGGTGTTGCAAATATTCATGGGCGGCGATTATCACTTAACATCAGGTGAACCGCTAGCTCGTTTGCACTCTCTCAAGTAAAAAAATAAATAAAACGATAGCTCTCGCCTTATGAATCATTTACTGGGCAGCTCCTTTCTATAAGTCTTTCTTCCAAAGCAAGTAACTAGGTTATAGTAATAAGTACTTTTTCGACAGGTACCTATTTACAATGTAATAATTAAACTTGAAAAAAAAAATCCATCATCAAAAAAAATCCAAATCATCGAACCGAGTATGTATTACAAACATATGTGTAGACCTTCAACACAGGATGACGTCACCAGGACTCTAACTGAAAACTAAGATATACATCAATCTGTAAACAAGACGGTTGTATTAAATTATTCAATTATGCGCGTGTTTGTTGGCCGCTCTGACCCGTGTATAAATACCAAAGTATTGACATTGGACCGTTTCAATGTAAATTTAAAACGCTGAAAATTCCTATCGTATATTTTCAATGGTTCCTTTATACCTACGCGCTGATTCGTTTGCGAAAAGTAAAGTTTCATTTTAGAGTTTGCGGCAATCAAATACTTATGATTAGAGAAACTTTATGATGTGATTATTGAGTAATATTTACAATTATTCACAATTTGTGAAAACTTTCAACTTAAAGTAACTACTAATATTTTAAAATTACTAGGTATAATACCTAATAAAAACATGAATAATATAGACAGATATAACAGGTGAACCGCCAGCTCGTTTGCCGCCTTCTCATATAAAATAATGATAATATTATGGGTTATACATAATGGGTTGGGTCCCATTTATTTATTTCTTATATAGGTACAATATAATAAATTGATAAATAAGTAAAGAATATCTATATGTTTATTTTTATTTATAAATCCAACCAGACGAGAAATCAAATAAATATCTCCCCCTAATAACATCGCAGCACCACATTCAATTCTACCACATTCAATTTATCACTTTATTTCAAGTTTCCAATGTTATATTGTTCCCTAAATATCAACATATGATTTGTTTGTGTAGCAATTTGAACCTGTGTCTCTTAATAAGCGAACATCCATAAACAGCTATCGCGTTTTTATCAGCTATCCATATAGAAAAGAATTTAAAATTTTTTGACTACTTAATGATTACTAAATATTTAAAAAATTGTGATAACACCAGTTAATAATAAGTAAGATATGTATGTGTTTTGGACGGATGACATTATTTTTATAATCACTCATTTCCTTTCGGTCAAATGTAGGGTCGATAAAAAACATATAAATTAAATGTTTAGCATTTAACATCTTTTTTTTTTTTTACTTAGAAACCTACTTCTACTTTTGTCGTCCTTTTGTCTCTCCGTCTGAAAAAAAAATATTTATATTACTCGATGTCTATGGCCCATTGATTTCGATGACGAAATAGCTCGTTTATTTAGTTTAAAATCCGTTAAAGTAAAATAAAGTAACAAATCTATACAAGGCCCACTGCTGGGCAAAGGCCTCTGTACAGAGGGTATTAGGGTATAGCCTAATATGCGAACCCTCTGCAGATTGGCAGAATTCATGTTTTTTTTTTTTTTTTTATGCGAAAAGTTGTCAAACGAGCAGACGGTTCACCTGATGTTAAGTGAATACCGCCGCCCATGGACATCTGCTACACTCGAGGGTTACAGATGCGTTGACAACCTTTTGAAAATTGGGCTCCGGCTACCTCACTCACCAGACGAAACGCGAAAGTATTTGTCATACTTCCACTTTACGCCGGTCTTCTGTGAGGTCGTGGTACTTACCCGGACGGGCCTGCCCATTCGTGCAACACCCGAGGTTGCTGCGTGGCCCTACCACCCACAGCGGTATTCCCACAGCGGCGACAATCTTTTCGTACTTTTTTTCTACAAATTTTAATGTTAAATCTTAAGTGCAAAAGTGTAAGTTTTAGTGTAAATCAAAAGACTACCATCGTTTCACTAATTTAGAACTGCCCAGAGAAGAACCAGTAACAAAATCTTATGTCTTGTTCTTTCTTTATTTAATGCTATAAAATCAGCAGCAGCCAGGGGACTTGTAAGTGCAGAGCAAGAGTCATTTGCATACACCTTTAACCTCAATGTATTCTTCGACACTATAATAGGGCAGATTTTCCAAAATGTTTGAAATTGTATACAGTCAGTTCTTTGTGGATTCACTTATTTTATTATATGCATATGACATGTTAACATGTGTATATGTATAAAACATTTACACATGTTAACTAACTGAATAAATAAAAATACTATTTAGAATTTCTGTATGTTTCTAAATGGCACGGAATAATTTCGAGGTATGTACATTTTGGGACTACACATTATTTCCATTAGCGTTTGCTTTTGCGATCTGCTTTTTGGTAATTGATTTTTATTAGAACACATTTGATATACAAACGCTCACAAATTGAGAATAGACTTCGAGTGATTCGATATTTGAGCAAACACTTTAGCCAATTGAACGCAGTATCATTTAATTTCAGTTTAGCTCGGCGCGCACCCATTCGAGTATTTTTCATTTGATAACGTAATAAATGTCTGCATAAATGTAAGACGTTCAAATAATTCGTTAAATTCATTCATATGCTGGTTCATTAACTATATCAATTTCTGATTTAGAGATGTGTGCAAATATACCCAAAGTGTATCGATCATTTCACACTCAGGACGTTATTTCACCTTCCCTAATTCAACCGTATGAAATTACCACAACATTTACACACATCTTCTCCAATGTCAGTAACGCCACAGACGCTGATAGGATACGAATAAGAATTCGTTTGTTTGCTGATTTAGCACAGCCCAAAAATTTATTAAAATAACAGTCTAATTATATATTCTTGATATTTTTCATTTGACATTAACAATAATAAAAACTAGTTTTCATAACTTTGTGATAATTATGAGAGTTTAATTATTTACTGAGTACGCTTGCTACGATTGTATCATCACTAACCATCAAATGGGTAGGTAATTACACTTTAGTCGGTCATATAAAAATCCAAAGTTACTGTTATGAAAAGACAACATATCTATGTCTGCTTTTCTTCAGTTCTAGGAACTACATCTTCCATACCGCTGGTAACAAACGATCGAGAAGGAGTGAGTTTCAAGAACATTGGTGGGCAAAAAAATTGAGTTTTACTAACACACAATATAAAAAAAAATTCTTGTGTCAAAAAAATTGTTGTCTTAAACTTTTCTCATTTTCCGCGTAAAAACGTCTTGCTCCCATTACCAACAAAATCACTGAGTTGATACGAACATTGAAATTATCAATTTCACGTTTACGATTTTGTCCCTGAAGCGAAGCGTTGGTATTAGTTGCTTTTCAGTTCTCTTTTCAATCTACATGAAAATGTCCAATTTCAAAATAGCTCCTAATACTTTAAAATACGATTATATATGTCGATTGAACACGACTTTGTTCGCACAAAACGATCGGACGTAAAGTGGTAGGTGTTCAAAATTTATTTTCAATTTTTATGATTTAAACCGTTTGCACGTAAACGTGATGTTATTCTATAAAAAAAATTATGCCTTTATAAACATCGTTCAGAAACATGTTTGTACGTGGGGCGCACTAAAAGTTTCCTGAATCAATAAGAAAAAAATACTATAATAAAGAAAAATGTGAAGGTCAAAAATGAATTTAATGTTTCTCAAAATATTCTCCCTTGCGTAAATGCAATGTTACATAGATATTTAGTTTTAACGTTTATATTGCCATTTATCTTTTTCAGTCGACAATTTTTTATGGAGTTATTTGTGTTACGGCAAAACACAGGCCTCATCCCGCATGATACGGTTTATCGTAAGCTCCAATTATGTCAGTTATAAATAAATTGTAAAATCTCAATGTTACAAATAAAATAATAACACCAACTGAGAAAGTTCGATCGGTGGAACGTAAAGAAATTGGAGCGTCTCGAAATTTTTAAAGGTCGATGCCTCAGTTCCAATTGATGGACGGGTGATATTAAATTACGTCATTTGTGTGAATTCCACAGCCAACGCGATGACCACAGAAGTTAGAGTCATGCGCACAGCCACTAACGTGATCGAATTAATAAAACGCAGATAATGCTTATCCGTGCGCTGTTTGCTTCGGCCTTTTCTATTATCAGAAGATAACGTGCAAACACTATCAGTTACTTAGTATTATAGCTCCGTGACTATGAAATAATGGAACCGAGAATTACCACTCATATGAAATTTACTGTACATTTTCCTGACGTGGCAAGTAGGTAAGCGCGCGGACAGTTCAGCTGATGTCCCCAGCCCTGTAGTCCCGGACTCATAGAATAGGACAGATTTATAACATGCAAAAATTACTATCACCAAATTATGCCATCGCTACGGTGATAAGCATACTGTCTTGTCTGTAACTTTCAAAGTCACGCAACAAGACGACGATGTATCGAGTATTGCATGGTGGTTTTAGGATCGAGTGTTGCTAGTTTTGTAAGCAATTAATAAAATGACAGACCTATTTAAGATGTTCTTATATATTACGATAGAGTTAAAAATAGGTAATCCAGTTCTCATTGTCAAACTATCAGGCACTGAAACATTATATACTGTACAATATACTCAGATATTATATAGGATTATGACTGAATTTACTCTACAGGCTTTGATCGTCAGCTACGTAAAATAATGATATGAAATAAAATGTAATCAAATTTATTTGTAATAAATTGAGGACATTTGCTAGAGCGATGCTATTAATTGATTCGCGTTAATTACAAAAGCTGTTTATAGAATCGCATACATTATTAAAATTCGTTTACAATTTTTTAAAAACCCGCTTCAATACAAAAAAAATTAAAAAAAGATATTTTTTTGTAATTTTCTTCAGATTTTTTTTGTAATGATGATAAGTGCTGTCGATTATCAGCACTTGAACATACTTTGATATACAATATCTAAACATTGTTGTATTATTCCCAATTATCAACACTATCATTCAACAGTTATAAAGTAAATATTAAAAACACAATATTATAAAAATACAGTCTACGTTTTTGTCTAAACTTCTTTGGAGGCTATTCTTTGGATATTAAAACATGGCAATATTAATCGATACATGTCTCTTAGTTACATTGTCTTATATAAAATATATAAAATACCTATAAAATTAGATTAATTACTATTATCTAGCTTTATTTACAGTCTTCATTGTAAACTTAAAACGACATTACTTTATTGATTTAGAGGTATCAACATCTATTCGGAGGATCCCACCAGTATCTGAAATTTTGATAAATCGTTGTCTTCTTTACCAAATCCCCTTTATTTAAAATAGTACAAAAGCTACAATAATCGTCAGTTTCTAAACTTTCGAACCTCCTATAGTAAGAGTAGTGATCTTTCCATCTAAAATATTGGGAGTACTGTTCCGCGTCCTTGATAAGTTCGTTCATTTTTTCCGCTAACTTCTCAGCACCAAGGTCTCTTGCATTTAAGTAAATTCCATTGGGCATGAACCTGGAACAAATTAGAAGATAATGGTTTCATAAAGCCTCGATATGTTTACAGTCTTCAAACATTCATCACATTATTTTTATAGCAGTGGGGACCACATTCTCTGGCGCAAAAGACAGGGTCGCTATCCAATCGCCATCACAACTGGGTCATATACTTTATTGTTGTTGAACATAATGGTTGTGCTAATAAAGCTTCACGCTGTTTAATTCCACACTATTGTTTAGAACATTATTACTATTATAGTTTACATTATTTAGAATTGGTTTTTTTCAATTATGTTTAACAATGGTTTATTCTAGCTATAAAAGGTTTATAAAGTACATGAGTTTACATCTAGTCACCGATTGGACGAATTTTGATCTTAATTAATTAAAGCAATCAATATGACATTCAAAAATTCTTTATCAACGATCTTTACCCTGTGCAACTGTTCGTCAACTGACTATTATTTGACATTGAAAATGCAAACGTAAATTACAATAAAACATACATAAAATTAAATTGTATTTATTTGTGCTAATAGTGCATATAAATTAAATGCAACTAAGTACAATATGATTTCATTATTCGTAAAAAAATTGTGTGCACGCAATATTCTCAACAAGGGGTCCAAAGTTTTTGCTCCTCGTATATTATATATAGCAGATCCGCCCCTGCTTCGCACGGGTGCAACGTACTTATTGAATTTCTCGGCTTTTATCTACTATAACATGTATGTATAGATATAAACCTTCCGCTTGAATTCCTCTATCTATTGCTGAAAACTGCATTGAAATCCGTGGCGTAGTTTAAAAGATCTAAGCGTACAAACATCGGGAGTGACACTTGAACTAGTGATCGGGAGTGTTTTTATACTATGCAAAGATTGTAATCAAACACAAAAACTTAAATGAAAATTTAAATGTCAGTGTATATGCTGATACTAGAAAAGGGAACTGTGTATTTAAGTAAACTTTCGGTAAATGTAAATAACTTTAGGTTTTTTTTTATGACCACCAAGAAATACGAGCAGAATTGACATATTGACAAAAAAAAAATGGCGGATTTCTGTAGTAAAAACTATTTCATTATTTATTTTTTCGAAAACTATAAGCGACCGCCGAATTCTGCTTGTTGATTAATTCATTAGAGATTTTTCTCTATCGTTTAAAATTTATTTTAATTGAATTACGCCAGATTTAAAGTTATTTACATTTGCCAAACTTTCTTCGGGCGTCATTTAAATGTTACGTATTATTTAAGTACCATATATTTACCTCGTGTAGTTAGCCCCACCGTAGACGATTGGCACAGCATTGTGTTTCAAGCCATGCAATAATTTTTCCGTCACATAATCTTCACTAAACGAATTTTCGAAAGACAAATAAAAGTAGTAATCATTTTCAATTAGCCTAAAACACTCGTCTTCTTTGTCACGTTCACACTTAAACGTACCACACCTACCGTAAATGTCTACAGAAAGATCATATTTCTTCAGGTGCTTTTGCAACTCTCGGACGAACCTCTCACGGCCACTTCGCGAATAACAATTGGACACAAACCACGCCGCGGCTTTGGATTTCTTTTTCAGTTTCGCTTTCAAATCTTCGCTCACTGGGTTCATTTCTTCCAGTTTCATCCAATGCATCACCGGCTTGGGGCCTATTATTTTCTGCTTAGCATCCCTAACCACGATGTAGCCCCACTTCGCTTCAGATTCCAACCTGTAAGTCCATGTCCAGTTGAAGAAACCGTCAAATTTGTTCGAACACACTGGATAGTTGTCCGCCGACTCAATTGTGGCGAACACAAACTTCTGGTGCGGCGATCTCTTCTGCGGCAGAAAGTTCTCATTCAACCGCACCACGTCGGGACCGGAAAATGCGATGACGTCAAATTTCGTATAATCACCAAGATAAGATCTGTCCCCGGTAACGAAGCAATTCGTGTATTGGCAATTCCTTTCTATGAAACCATTCTGCCCCTCTCCCATATACACAAAAGGCACACTCTTCGATGATGTCCATCGTAATATATATTTCAATTCCACCTTACCGGATTCCGTCTTCTTACTGCTCTCTTCAACCTTGTCCTCATATTCAGCAACTTTTTCAATAATCTTGTCTATATTTTCTTCCATTTCGTATATTTTCGCACTGATAACCACACTGTCATTTCCATACCTAGTGTCTCTGAGAGATAAATATAGGAACACAAGAAGCGAAATGATTGTGCAACTAAAAAACAATTTCATATAAATATTATTTCGCATTTTGTAGAACTTTAGCTCGCGTTTGTTATCGGTTTTATGAGAGGACAAGTGCGCGTGCGCGTTCTACGCTCGACCATATCGCCACTGACGACAAAATAAACATTGACTCAAAACGACATATCTAATCAATGGACTTTAGGTGTTTACCTTTATCCGTTTGTCATCAGAAACTTTTGTGGTTGCAAGCTTTTCCCAGTTCATTTATAGAATACAATAAAACGTTGTTACTCTGGTGTATTAGGTATATAGGTACAAAATAATAAATATTAAGAGATATATACACCAAAGGAAGAATGGTTAGTTATTAAGTATATTCGAGGGTGACGTTCTGCGACAAAATACAACGCATACGAGAGATTAGATCCAAATTCATAGTATAACACGCAGAGTGAGCCTTTAGATACTTCGATCTATTAGTTTTATTTAAAAATTGCAAACTTCATTTCAATTTTTTATGGGGTGATTGGGTCTATAAAAACATTGCTTAGACTACTAAATACTAATTAGATTAATATAATATACAAGCTATCGTCGTTGCAGAATAATTTCTAACTCTCTTATTTATGGACCTATTTATGTCCCTCTTTAAACAATTCTAAATTCCATCACTGATATGAAAAAATCATACGTCATAAATAATAGTAGGTTTCGTTGAATTTGTATTTTCCTAATGAATATGCTCATATCAGTAGTCATTAGTTCGACTGCAATATAACGTCTTCGTGTCCGGTTATTAAAGGAAACAAGGTTATCCAAACCACTGTATTGAGCGATGTGTAACACACAACAAAGAGATCGGTTTCCCAGCATTGTTTACGGAAAACAATGAAAACTTCCCGTTTTAAAATCTACTCTCTGTATTTCGCTGCACAAGGGGTGAGTAGAGTCACGATATATTAGTATAATTAAAGAAAAATATCACAAAAGAATATGTTACGGGAATATAGATATATTCTCTCACTAAAACTATGGTCTAACTAAACTAACTATGGGCGCGCCGGGGTCGCGGAAGTTTGCTCCTTAGTGTTTTTCCCTTCTTCCCAGCCGATGCAACAGAGCCAGATGCATCGTGGAATTAAATTGCTTATCCGTTACTGATCCAGACTCCAACACCCATCAAGGGATCCATAAAAGATTTTCGTTTAACGTTAGTCGCCGTTAACGTTAAAAAATGTATACATAGGTTGTCGCCACTGTCCCGTTAAATCACCTAATGTGACCTGAAAGAGAATAGTAAATTAATTAAAATGATGTACAGTTTTCAATTAAGTAGTAATTTTTACAATATTTTTGGGTTGATTTAAGTGATGAGACACCCCGCATAGAAGGCCTCGCTATTTATTTATATAGGAATTTATATCTACCGTAGACTAAGATAAAAATAAGATTTAAAGTATTTTAAACGGCAGTTACATAGTTGCCTTCTTCAATCGTCTCATCGTTTCGGTTCTATTCAATCAATTAATCAATCTTCCTTTATCCAGTCTGTTATTTTAACAAATCAATATTTCTTTAGCCAGTCTATTTATTTTGTGAAATGCACTATCCCTCAAAATAGCTAAAAGTTGCATTATTGAAAAGTGAAAAACAATTTCGCGCTCAAAAATTGTGGGCAGACTGAATCAATAGACATTAAAGTATGACCTTCTCTGTTAAATTAAACTAGTATGTAAATGGCAACCACAGATTCCGTATATCTTCTTATCCTTTAAACGAGCAATTCTTGTATATATATATATATATAATCGGAATCTCGGAAACGGCTCCAGCGATTTTCATGAAATTTAGTATGTGCGTAGATTCGGGGGCGAAAAATCGATCTAGCTAGGTTTCATTTTTAGAAAATGTCCTTTTATCCCTGTTTTCAAGGAATGAAAAATATAATTCGAATATGACGGTAAATTTCGCCGCAAGAGAAAATGTCATAATAGCTCGGTCGGTAATCGGGCGGCCCCAAAACAGACGGCCGTGGTTCGCGTCACAATTATTTACACATTTATTTTTTTACTTTTTTTTTTATTCCAGATCATTGCTTTCTTTATTTTAAATTTTTTGTCGATTTGTTATTTTGTTATTTTTTCCCTTTTTTTTTAAGTTCTTTCTTTTGTGAAAAACATCAATTCATATTTTCTTATTATTACGTCGGTAAGATCGAAAAATATTATGCATATATAAATGTAATTTCCAAAACACACGATTTACCAAAAAAAAAAACAAACCGAGCAAAGCTCGGTCCTCCGGGTACTACTTGATGTAATAAATGAACGAAGACCAGCGTCGAATTTTGGATTTGTGTATGTCCAAAACTCTAATTATTTCGTTTCTTAAATAAATGTTCCTTAAATAACTGATTTAAAAGCAAAATATTATTTACAACAAAATAATAGAATAACAGTAGTGTGGCGTTTATTTATCTTGTCATATCTTAGTATGTGTAAAACTATGCTGTGTTATAGTACAACACACACTTCATAACTTATACCATTATCTAGTGTAAAAACGTATAGTCAAGTTTAGCTTATATCAGTGTTATCCATTATTTTGAAACCACCTGTTTTGTTATCTGATATCAACGATCGATGAAAATGAGTGACCATAGTCCTTATTTCCTCTGGCTAATCCTGCGATCTAACTAGGCCAAATATTTAACTAAAATTTAAATGAGAAATATGAGAATTCTGTAAACTACAAATAATTCTTTCTTACAAAACTAACGTATACTACGTAGTACTAACGTAACGTAACGGGACCATGTCATATCTTTACATGGTATAAAACAAAAGCGCTCCCTGATTTTTGTGCGCTTAGATCTTTTAAAATACGCAAGAGTTATTATAGAGTTATATATTATTTATTATATTTATAATTATATATTTACATAATTATATAAATATAAATATTATATATTTATGCAGGTTTATATGTGGTATACATGCACATTATATTAGGTGGTAACTTACGAACATATTAATTTCCTTGAAAAATTTCAATTTAATTTTATTATTATTGGGGGGATATTCATTTCTTTCTTTTATTATTATTATTATAGTAGAGAAAAGCCGAAAATTCCAACATCTACATTGCACCCGAGCGAAGCCGGACCGCTATGATAAACGAATACGTAACTATGATATTTATATGTGAATAGCAGACGATAATGACGACCAATGCGTCATTATCTTCGTCGAAGAACTCATGTCATCCAATGCATATAAGATATTAAAGTAGTTCCTAATAGTGAAAAATAGCAAAGATTGTGACGTGACTAACGAACTTAATATAATCCTTCATTTTATAATTTACTTCTAGATTGGACTTCAAATTGATTCCAACCGAATATCGCCAAGTTAGTTAGATTATTCTGTGATTGCATATTTCTGAAGCATACGCTTATGATACCTGAAAGATTCGATTAAGAAGCCGGCGTAGATATATTTAAATATGCGTTGCCTCTGGTGAATTAATTAGTGATGTACCCGACGTATAAAAATTTGACAACAAGCTTAGAAAATGTATCCTTTAAAGATTTTACTTACTATCTGGTAAACCGCTTGCTTGCCATCTCCATAGAAAAATGATACTTATTATTATTTAATGTATGTTATTGTTGTTTCACATATATCATCAAAATTTTATCCGCCCAGAGCCGCACCCTCAAAAGATCCGCTTTAAGTCCAGTAACAATGGCTCCGAATAGCAAATACCCAAAACATACAATCGAATTTGCGCGGGCTCAATGGTAATGTCAAATTTGCCCCGCGGCCTCATTTCGCTAGGATTTGTTTTGATTCGAGCGAGGAATCTCGTTATGGCTCGGGCATATTATATTCGTCGGGACAACGAAAAGAGTTTTTATATAATATATCTTGCATAAAATATTGTGACTTAAAAGATAGATTTCTTTCTTTCTTCAGCTTTTTTTATTAAATTTTCGCACTGTTTTCCATACTTCATAATATGAAGAGTAACATATTAAATTATATTATGCTTATTTTGTTTTCATTAGTTAGAGATAAACGAAAAAATAAATGTATGTAATATATAAGTTTGTTAAGTTTTCAGTTATTTAAAGTTATCATTACAAAATGTATACTTATATCATCACCAGTAACAACATAAAAAGTGAATAAAAATAAAAATATCCATTGAAATTGCATTATTATTAAAACATTTGTGTTAAAATTAACAGACATGTTAGAGGAAAAAGACCTGTTTATTCAATTACGACACCGAACAAATATTGTATTGATTCAACGTTATGAACAATTATAATATTGAAAAATTACAATGAATATATATATATATATATATATAATTTAGAATATATGCCTACTGTGTCAATAACATTATAAATGTACAAAACCTTTATTTTTATACTAAATCACATGCTGGTATCAGTGAGTTCGTCTACGTTGCTTATTATTTTATGTGCAGAAAAATTACGTGGCAAAAGAAACAAATTTACAAAACAAATTTAGGATCTATAATATAGATTGTAATTTAGGATATTTATTATAATATAGGGTCTTAAAAAAAATACCCCAAAAGCCGAAAGGGGGCTAAAGGTCAGTATGACCTAAAACGAAACAACTCAATTTGTCACATTCGCAACACAGAAATTTGAATATTACACAAAACCATTGCGAACAATTATATATTAAAGCGTTTGATTAATTAAGACAGGTGACAAGCTGCGGTCTTACGGACTGGAGTATTAATAATACTCTAATTAATTTTCAGTAATGCTTTTATGCAGATGAATCCGTTTAATTACATTAAGTCATGTCGTTAGAAGATGAAGTCGTCGCTGTCATATCGTATTTTGAGGGTATTTCATATTCAAAAGGACGCTCCAGTATTATAACTAG